AGTTGGGGCGCTTTGGAACAGCCACCCAGCCTGGACTTCCCTTGGGCATCTTACTCCCATGTGGCCTGCTACAGCGACAGCCCAAGCTGTGGCACTGCTGGTGCTGCCTGGCAGACCTCATTGGATCCATCCGGGCATGGCAGACAGCTGTGCTTCAAAGCAGGTGACCTGGCCACTCCTTCCTGCTAGGGTGAGGACCCTACAGTAAAAGGAATTTGATGCCTTGTAAAGGGAGAGAGGAAACTGTGAGCAGTGTTTTCCAGCCATGGCGAACGGGGGTACTTTTGTGCAACCCCTCTCCTTTTCATGTTGGCTAGCTAGGGTGTAGCTGCCACACCAGTGACCAGCATTTCTTTGGGAAAATTAGACTTACTCCACTTCCATCATTTCTGATTTCAAATGATCACATTTGCATATTTGGACAAGTATATTTGTGAAGAGACTCTCCGGGCCTTCCAGGGAGACTCTCCGGGCCTTCCAGGGAGACTCTCCGGGCCTTCCTGCAGCCCAGGCCCTGGTTCTTTCCTCCCCAGATGCTGCTTGAGAAACTGAACGGCACCGTGCCCTGCCTGCTGGATACCAGCACCATCCCCGCCGAGGAGCTGACCATGAGCCCTTCGCGTTCACTGGCCAACTCTGGCCTGAGTGACAGCCTGACCACCAGCACCCCCCGGCCCTCCAACGGTGACTCGCCTTCCCACCCCTACCACCGAACCTTCTCCCCCCACTTCCACCACTTTGTGGAGCAGTGCCTTCAGCGCCACCCGGACTCCAGGTATTCCTGTTGGCCTGGGCCTGGGCTTCGGGACAGCAGAGGGTGCTCAGGAGGTAAGGCCAGGGTGTGAAGGGACGGACGAACCTGTCAAAGGTTCTGCAGGGGTCAGAGCTCCCAGGAGGAATGTAAAGCTACACACGGGAGGGATGTCTTCCTAGGTGTGTAAGAGGTCAGCCTGGGGAGCTCTGGCCACTGCTTCTCAGTCAGCTCAGGGAGAGGCAGAGGCTGAGGCATAAGCAGCAGGATTTTGGGAAGCTGGGCATGGCAGTGACCTGTGATCTCTCCACCCCTTTTCCTCCAGGCCGAGCGCCAGCACCCTCCTGAACCACTCTTTCTTCAAGCAGGTACCGTAGCCCCTTCCCGAGGCTCCCTGTTTTTTTCTTGCCTTTGTTTCTAAGGACTCAAAATCCCTTTAGCTTTGCGCTCTTGAGGTATTCTCTCCCATCCCTTTGAATGAGAGCATTTATCCCACTTCCAAAGCCCCTGAAAGGCACTGCTCCTTCCTCTTGTAGAATTGGTTCCGACAGCCCGTCTGCCACTGGGCTTCCTTGCCTGATGGTGTCCTGGGACCCAGAGCAACAGGATCCATCACCCACCTCTCTCTCCTCCCCCAGATCAAGCGACGTGCCTCAGAGGCTTTGCCCGAATTGCTTCGTCCCGTCACCCCCATCACCAGTTTTGAGGGCAGCCAGACTCAGGACCACAGTGGAATCTTTGGCCTCGTAACAAATCTGGAAGAGCTGGAGGTAGACGATTGGGAGTTCTGAGCCTCTGCAAACTGTGCATTCTCCAGCCAGGGACGCAGAGGCCCTTCCTGAGGGCTGGCCACATTCCCACCCTCCCAGGCAGACTGGGTAGGAAGGACATTCTTCCCGGAAAGATGGCTGCTGACTGATTGGGAAAGAAAATCCTGGAGAGATGTTTCTTCATTGCTCCAAGGCTTTTGAGAAACAAGAGAATCTTAACACCTAGGGATTGGGAGGGTGGAAAGCCGACATTCCCAGTCATGTGAGCTCAGGTGACCCCCGTGGAAGGAAGAGATGCTGTTCTGGCCTTGGGAGCTGAATTCAGAGCCCAGGGTTTGACTCATTAACCCCGAGGACTGCCACCTCTTCCCAGTGCTTGCGACCAGCCTTGTTCTATTTAACTTTGCTCTCAGATCCTATAGATCAGTGAAAGGGCAAGTAGTAAACTGCCTGCCTCCCTTCCCCCAGACCTCGCTCTTACAATTGCAGAGAAGGGTATTTGTCTTTTTAAGCACAGACTAAGGCTGGGACAGTCCATCCTTATCCCTATTCTAGCTTGGGCCCTGACACCTAAATCTCTCCGAGGGTTTATGTGTGTGCCTCATTCCTTTCCCACCAGGAACCCATCTTAGCACCTTCTGCCAGCTGCCCTGGTGCTTTCTCCCAAGGGCCATCAGTGTCTTGCCTAGCTTGAGGGCTTAAGTCCTTATGCTGTGTTAGTTTTGTTGTCAAAACAAATTAAAATTTCCAGAGACCCTGCTGAAGAATGGCATTGTCGTGTCTACATCAGCTCAGGGGCCACAGGCTGCTTCCTGGGGCTTGTGCTTGCAGGATGGCTGTGCTACCCCAGATCAGAACCATCCCGCCATCCAAGAGCAGGCCCAGGGTGCTGTCAGAAGCTCAACAGTGTCCTCTTTCACTAGATAGACCAGTTTCTCTTAAAACCCATAATCTGTCTCTTAACTATCTAAAATTTCAGGACTCTGAATGTTAGCCTGTGGCCGTCAAAACACTTTGGAACTAAAAAAGTCCAAAGATTGAAACTGAGGCAGAGGATGTTGGCAGCCTTTGGCAGGAAAGGAGGTAGAAAGGTTTGTCTTGCAACCTGACCTGAATGTCTCCTTACCACGGGTGCTAGGACCCAAAGAGCAGGAAAGCTAAGACCAAGCCCCGCTCATCCCTGCCATGCTGGCTGGCACTGAGTGTGAGCAAGGGGGTGGTGCAAATATGGGTCTCCCACAGTGCTTCCAATGCACATGGCTTACCCCTCTCCCAGTCCCTCAGGGGGAAGCCCCACCACTGGCCACACCAGCTCAGGCACCTTAAACACCCCTCTACCCTGAAGCTGCACTGAACCATCAAGTGCCCTCACTTTCCATTTCCTCCCAAATTTTAACAACAGTTTAAAGGGAAGTTTAGTAAACCTCTTTCTTTGGGCAATGAGAGGCTAAGATGACAGGAGTAACACTGACCCTGGGCTAGGATAGGGACCTGGGGCAAGTGAGTGAGGAGCTGGGGAGCTCATTTCCAGCCTTCCCCCTGCTTTAAACCTCAAGTCTTCCACCCCCCCCCCCCCCCCCCCCCCAACGGAGTCACTCTGACACCAGAGTGGAGTACACTGGCATCATCTTGGCTCACTGCAACTTCCACCTCCCAGGTTCAAGCAATTCTCCTGCCTCAGCCTCCCGAGTAGCTGGTATTAGAGGCACATAGCACCGCACCGGGGCAATTTTTGTATTTTTAGTTAAATGGGGTTCCACCATGTTGGCCAGGCTGGTCTCGAACTTCTGACCTCGTGATCAGCCTCCCAACGTGGTGGGATTACAGGCGTGAGTCACCGCCCAGCCAAGTTACCTTTTTTTTTTTTTTTTTTTTTTTTTTTTAAAGACACTGGTCATCGAAGCAGTTTACTTTGCTTCCAGATGCCTTCTGCACCTTGGCTGTTAGTGCATCCTCAATGCCCACCTGCAGCTCAGCTCACAGGCCCGTCCTGGGCAGGGTGCCGGGGCCTCACTGTATCCCCGTTGCAACGAGCCCTGCTCCTGGTGCCCCGGGGCTTCCCGTTTCTTGCATCAAACGGCCCCTTTGGCGAATTTGATGAGAGGTTTGAAAGCTTTCCTGCGAGGCAGCCAGTTTGAGAGTCTGACACTCCCCACTCCCACTGTGGGAGTTGGCCCACAGTACAGGCAAAACGCAGATCTTCTAGAGAGAACAGAAGGCTGGAGGAGAGATGCGGAGCCGTTGCATGGAGCCCGCCAGCCTGGGAAACAGCTGGGCGCTGGGGAAGCTGCAGCCTCCCCAGCTTCCCTGCCAGGCGTCGGGCGGGAGCTGTTCGCTCGCTGACAAACGCGTGGGCCGCGCTCTGGAGCCGCCAGTGCTATTCCTGCCACAGTGTGGGAAGGCGCTGTGCTTCCAGGAGCAGCCTCCAGGCTGATTTCAGGCAAAGCCACGCGGTCCCTGGTGCCAGGGAAGGCGCCGGCCTGGCAGCAGCTCCAGAACAAGTGGCGGTCGTCCGCCTGCAGTGTCTGGCCCACTGTGCGGCTGCAGGGCGGGAGCAGCTTTGCGGCCCGAGCTCTGTCACCTCAGCTCTCCGGGCCGCAGCTCCCTCGTGAGAAATGAGGTGCGCTTGTTGGAGGGGCGCCCCGCAGGGGTCGGGGTTGCTGCCCACAGAATCCCGCCCCAGAAACGCATGAGGACGTCGAGCCTCGGGGAACGGGTGCTCCAAGAACCACACGCAGCGGCCTCCGCGGCCGGTCGCAGGGTTGCAGAGGCGTGAAGGGCTGGTGGGGCCGCCAGGCCCTTGTACAGGCTCAACGGCGAGCTGGCGCCCCAGGCTCCTCCCCGCAGCCTCGCGGCGGGGCCTGGGGACCGCGTGCCTGGACGCCGCCGCCAGACTCGTGGGCCGCAAGGGCGCGGAGGCGGCCCCTGGCGGCCGGAGGACTCGGCGGCCCGAGGGACCCCGGGCCGGGCCCCGGGGTCACCCCGGCGGGGTGTCTGAGATTCCACAGCTCCGGGAGGGGATGGGGGCGCCGGCGCCTGCGCACGAGGCCACCCGGGGAAAATCGAGGCAGTGAACGGCTCAAGCCCAGCCCGGTTATCCCGGAGCCACGCCGGGAGCGCCCGGTGTCCTGCGACCGCAGCCGCCGCAGCCCGAACTCGTCCCCTCCCAGAGGGATGCGGAGCGCGGCCCTTCCATCCTGTCCCCGCCACCGTGGCTTCCCTACGCCAGGCCGACCGGGGCCCCGGCGCTGTTGGAAAGAGCAGACGGCGCGGCCAGTGCCTGAGGCCTGCGAGCGCCTGGCTCGCGGGGCGCTGTGGGGCCGGGAGCGCGGGTTTCGGGCGGGGGAGAGACAAAGGCGGGGAGGTCCGCGAGGGGAAGACAAAGCGCGGAGGGGGGTCGACGGCGCTGGGGCCCCGGAGGCGGCTCCGGGCGCGGCGGAGCCAATGGGCGGGCGCGGGGCGGGGGCCGGCGGGGGCGGTGCCGCGATAAGGCGGTGGCGGCGGCGGCCGCTCGGGAACCACTGGCAGCCGGGGCAGCTCGCGCCTTCGTCCTCCTCACACCCGTGCGCCCCGGGAGACCTCCCGCCCCGCGGCCCAGGCCGGGTCGGGTGAGAGCCGCGAGGGGAGGGGCCCCGTCCAGCTCTGGAACCGGGTGGGAAATACCGAGGGGTTGGGCGCGGGCCTCCCGCGGGATCCCCACGAGTCCGCGCGCCGCTCTGGTTCGGGGTGCCCAGGCTCGAGTCCCCGCTTCAGGGCCGGCCCCTGGCGGGGCGGAGCCGAGTCCCGCTGGCGGGGCTCGCGGCGCCGGGGTCTGGGGTCCAGTCCTCACCGGGTCGGGGCGGGGGCTGGGGGCGGAGGGGCGGGGCGGGGACCTCGGGCGCTGTCCAGGGGCTGCGCAGCCGAGGCCTCTGTGCGCGGGCGCGGCGCGGGGCAGCTAGGGCGGGGGTCAGGTTGGGGCAGCGGCTTCTCGTTCGTTCCCTCACCCCAGGTGGGGTCCCGACCTGCGGGGAGCAGAGGGCGGCTGCGCGGGAGACCCCGGCTCCCTCCGTCCCGCTAACTTTGTTCTTCCGAAGGCACGGTGCCACTCGGGACCCCGGCCCCCGGGGAGCAGGGGTGTGGGAGGTGGGTAAGGGGCGGAAGTGGCAAGACCAAAAGCAACAGGAAATGACTTAGGGAAAGTCCCAACCGCAATCCCCCCAGCCCCTGCCTGTCAACACCCCCCACCCTGCAGGCTGGGGCCCTCCCGACTGACTTCCCCTTGCAGAACCAACCCATCGAGTGTCGCGTCTCCACCCGGGGCTTCCACCTCCACGAGCCATGTTCCAGGCTGCAGGAGGCGCCCAGGCCACCCCCTCCCATGTAAGTGCCCGGACAGGTGTGAGGGCTCCCCGGGCTGGGGTGAAGGGGAGAAGTGCGGGGGTTTGCCGGCCCCCTGTGGCGAGCCTCTGGTCCTGGGCTGATGGCTGTAGCCGTGGTCCAGGGCCTCCCGGAGCTGCCCTGCCTTGACCGCCCCTCTCCCTCAGGAAGCCAAAGGCGGCGGCAGCAGCACGGTGCAGCGCTCCAAGGTAGGGGCCTGGGGCCGGGTGTGCGGGAAGAGGGGCGTGGGGGAGCGGAGTGGGCTCTGGGCATCCCCTGGCTGAACTTCCTGCACAGTCCTTCAGCCTGCGGGCCCAAGTGAAGGAGACATGCGCCGCCTGTCAGAAGACAGTGTACCCCATGGAGCGGCTGGTGGCCGACAAGCTCATTTTCCACAACTCTTGCTTCTGCTGTAAGCACTGTCACACCAAACTCAGGTGCGCCCCTGCCCTGCCCTCCCCCTCGCCTGCCAGCCCAGCCCCAACCTGGCTTGACCTGAGGCCGTTGTTTGGCTTCCGCAGCCTGGGCAGCTACGCCGCGTTGCACGGGGAGTTCTACTGCAAACCCCACTTCCAGCAGCTGTTTAAGAGCAAAGGCAACTACGACGAGGGGTTCGGCCGCAAGCAGCACAAGGAGCTCTGGGCCCACAAGGAGGTGGACCCCGGCACCAAGACGTCCTGAGGCCCCTGCAACCTTCTACCCCCTCCGCCGGCAGGGGGAAGGTTGGGAGGGAGGTCGAGCTGGGCTTGCATGGGGGCCAGGTGGGAAGGGGATGAGGCTTGCTCAGGCGGAGGGGCCCAGGGGCAGGGCTCTGCCCCATGACTCCTTCCTTCCCAGTGGGTGAGGGTTTGGGAACCAGGATTGGGGTCTGCCCACCACCCTGCTTCCTGCTTCTTTCAGCCGTCCTCCCCACCTCACCCCAGGACCCCCTAGGAGGCTCCCACGCCCAGCTTCTCTATCTAGGTGCCTTTTCTCCAGCAAGGAGTCAGCATGCCCCGCTCAGGGTCTCAAGCTCCCTCACTGCCACCGGAGGCTGTGTGGCCCCCGCATCTCCCCATCTACCTCTACCGTTAACCTGGTTCTGAGCCACGGAGGAGACAGGAAGGAGCACAACAGTGCCACCTGTTGGGCCTCATAAATGCCCCTGCAGCCCACAGGGGAGGGGATGAGGAAGTGGAGCCACCCTCCCTCGTCAGGGCAATTGGGACTTGGGACCATCTCACATCACCAGCGTGGAGAAGCGGACGCTAAAGCATTCGCCTCAGACACTGGCAGGGGCTGACGCGGTCCCGCTCCCCTCCCACTCCCCTGTTTCTGCCTATCCTGTTTTGACCAACCCCGTTTTAAACATGTTTCAACAGATCCGGATTCTCTATTGCGTGGCCTGCTGGGGGATGTGTCGAAGGAAGGGTGCAGACTCACCATGGGGAGGGCATGGGGGCTAGAAGTGGGTGTCAGACACACCACTGAGAAATGGGAGGGCTCCTCTTCCCAGCAAGGGCTTCATGCTGTCACACCCACAGCAGTTTTGGAACTGAAACTCTACCTCACCCCTCAGCTTTGGGGTGGTTCAGACCCACTGACTACCACAGGCACCCCATTGTGAAGACGCCTGAAAGCGGGAGGGCCGGGCAACCAGTGGGTGATGGCGCCCAATGCACTTCAGTGTTGGGGGTGCAAGCTGCCATGCTCCCTGGCTGGTTCCAGCTGTCTAGCTCCCTTCTTCCCAGCCCTTTGACCTGGAAGTTAGTGACAAATGGCGGGAACCAGCAAGTGCTGTCCAAGGTTTTAGTGACCCTCCTGCACTGTCCCTCCTTATCGTTCCCCCTCATTGCTGTCATCATCCCCTTACCTTTTCAAGCTCTGGGGTGAGGCAGTCACAGCTACTGTCCTAGGACGTCCAGGAAGAAACCATCTGCTCTGAAAACCCGGGGAAAATGAGGGATGAGTTTACAGCAGACCAAACCAGGCAAGCTGGGAGGACCTGAGGGCTCCTTGGTGGGACACAGGCAGGAAGTCTGGGTTGTCCTGCTCCAGATCCAGCTTCTTGATGTTTCCAGACATGGGGTAGATGAGAACAGTCCTGAAGGGTTTGCTGCCACCACACTATACAACTGCCCAAGTTCCTCAGTGGCCTTCTCCCCATGGAACAGGGCAGCGAGCTGGGGCACACACTGCTCCTTGAAGAACGAATACCCAGTAAAGATGGTCCCCCAGGCCTGGTCCCTCCAAGTACAAAGCGAGCAACTCAACCTCTCAGGGCAGGCCAACTTCCTGCACCAGAGGTCTCAATGGCAACAAGGTCGGTCTTTCTTCGGTTAAGCAACAGCAGATGGGCCACGAGGGGATACTGGAGAGGTGGCTCTTGGAGGCACCTGACCCCTGCCCTGCAAAGATGGGACTCAAGGAAGTCTTGAGCCAGGAAGACCCTACAAGATGCCATGAAGGCTCTGGAATCCCAGCCACTGGTGACATTCAAGTTGTGAGGGCCAGCAATGCCACCTTGGTAAATCAGCCCTGAGGGGACCACCCCAGTGGAGCTCGTGGAGGAAAGGGGCAGACACCTCTGGGTACCAGCCAGGTCATCCCAGGACCCCTCTACTCGGAGTCAAGTTCTCCTGCCTGAGAGGCCCAAGCTCATTGCCAGGCACCATACCCAGCCTGTCCGGCAAAAACCTACCTCCATCCCCTGCAACTGAAAGCACTGCCACAGGACCCCTCTGATATAAATGATCCCTTTTATTGTAAGTAATGCGCAACACTGGCCTGGCTTTGCACTGCAAGCCCTCGGTCAAGATATAGTCAAATAACTACGGCTGCAGGTTCTTCTGCATGATCCACAATTCAGACACAGATGCAGAGCTGGGGTGGACGGGAGGGGCAGCAGGGCAGCAGAGTGCAGACTGTCCCCAGCCCTGGCCTCTGCATTTGAAGTTGGCCCAGGCAGACACGCCCCATGGAATGATGAGAAAGTGACACAGCCCCTTCTCACAGCAAGCCTGGGGCTGCCAGGAAACTGCCCTTCAGAACCTTCGGGCCCAGGTCATCCTGAAGCCCCGCAACTTTTTCTCTGGATTAGTTATTAAAAAACAATAAATTAAAATTAAGCAACAACTTGGTCCTGAGGATGCTGAGCCAGCATGTCCACAGTTTTTGGCACAAAAAATTAGGGTCTGTTTTGCTTTTTTGGAGTGTATGGTTTGTTGGCTTGTCTTCAAATTCATTTTTAAAACACATTCCCAGCCGGGTGCAATGACTCATGTCTGTAATCCCATCAGTTTGGGAGGCTGAGGCAGGCAGATCATGAAGTCAGGAGTTCGAGACCAGCCTGTCCAATTTGAGGAAACCCTGCCTCTACTAAAAATACAAAAATTAGCTGGATGTGGTAGCACGCACCTGCAGTCCCAGGTTCTCAGGAGGCTGAGGCAAGGGAATTGCTTGAACCTGGGAGGCAAGGGTTGCAGTGAGCCGAAATCATGCCACTGCACTTGAGCTGGCAACAGAGTGAGACTCTGTCTCAAAAAAAAAAACAAAAAAACAAAAAAACAAAAAAAAAAAAAAACGCATTCCCAGTGAGGTAAGACCCCAGAGGGTGGGGCTCTGTGAGCCTGAACCTAGGACCCACAGTAGAGTCAGCCAGCACTGTGCTCTGTATCCTCTTAGGGAATAAGGACTGGGGATCGGGGTGCGGACCAGGAAGAGTATGCAGCCAACAGGATGGGGTCGTGGAGAGGCTGAGCTGCCACGAAGCAGCTTTGGTCAAGATGAGGGCCAGGCCCCACCCTGGGCAAGGGCCGAAGTGGAAGCAGGAGCCTATGCTGTCTTCAGAGGACAGTGTGGGGTGCAGGGGCCGACAGAGCCCCTGGGGGAAAAGGGATGGAAACAGAGGGGTCTAGGCCCAACTGGCACCATATGACACACACTTCTGCAAAACCAGCTGCTTTCATTTTCTCTTCTCTCTCTTGAGGCGTCCATCACCTGTAACAGTCTAGAATTGATATATATATAAAAACCATCAAATATGATCTGAGATATAAATTAACAAGTACAAGGCCTCACATTACATCATGTGAAAAGGCTAAAAACAGCGATAGAAACTACATTCATAAAAGTGCATCGTCAACATACAACGAAGGCTTTGGCTTGTTCTGTGCCCATGGGGATGTAGGCATGGCTGGCAGGGCTGCCTGGCACTAATCCCCAGCTCCCTGGAGATGCCCATCCCTGGGCACTGACTTTTTTTTTTTTTTTCCTTTAATGACAACTCCCAAGGAAACTGGGTGTTGAGAGGGAGGAGCTCTAGCAATAGGCACATTTTGGAGGGGAGGGGCCGGAAGAAAGGACCAGCGCCCAGGCTGAGGTAAATATGGCCAACTCTAAGCTGCTTGGAGATGCTGTTTCCCCAACCCCTGCTGTCATTCCTCCCCCAGAGGAGGAGCTAGAAGGGAAAAAGGTTGAGACCTCATGGGGATGGGCAAGGCTGGCTAAGGAAGAACAGAGCTGGTGGTTTTGGACACAGCTGGTGGCAGCACATGGGCTTTCCCTTCTGAGACGGAGTGGGCTCTGGCCTAGCAGGTCATGACTCAAACAGCCTGAGACACCTCCTCATGCTCTCTGGGACCAGGGCACCGGCTGGACCAGATGCCCCCGCCATGTCGTCCATCTCCCCTTCTGCTCCAGTGGGGAACAGATGCTAGGCCAGGAGCACAAACGCCATGACCTTCAGCTCTTTCCAATGCAGCCTAGGCCCAAGCCCACAGCAGGTATCAAAGCCCAGAGGGCACAGAGTCTCCAGTTTAGAAACTGGGTACAGCATAAGAGTGACTCTGACTTGTAAAACAGAGACAACTGCATTGACAAAACTGAATCCTCCTCAGTGGCAGCAGTTCAACATCACAGGCCCCTGCCTGGGGGAGGCAGGGTCATGGGCACAGGCAGGACTGGCTCCTCCTTCCCTGAATAAGGCAGCATGACATTTGCTTCATTCATCTTTGGTAAAGGACAGGACTGGCACAGCCAACCTGGGGCTCTAGGTGAGGGCAGCCTGGGCTTCTGCCTGCCACTGCTGTGGGGTGCTAGCCTTTCCCTCGGGCTTGTGGGAGCTCATCTAACCTGGAGACGCCCTGGTGGTCTCCAGACATTGGAAGGAAAAACAAAGTAACACTCTGAATGAAAATAACACTCTTCATACCCTGGCGTCAGTCCCATGCCCCCAGACCCTCTGGGCTTCAGTGCCAATTGCAGTGTCGGGACACATCCCCGAGGAGGGGGGCCACGGCCACCTTGCACATTGTTCCCAGCCCCTACCCCTCCACACTGAGCTCAGGACACTGGAGCTCCTGGATATGACAGGCTGGGGTCTCCCAGTCCTGAGGCTACAGCCACCCCATCCCAGCTCTGAGCCCCAGTGGCAGAAGGGACACAGACAGATGCTGGCTGGGCTGCCGCTCCATGGTCCACAGCCTTGCCTGGGAGAAGCAGCAACTTCACTGAGCCCCGCAGCAGCCTCCGGCAGCAAACGGCAGCCAGCAGCTGTGTGGCCATGAGAGCTCAGTACATGAGCTGTGCAAAGTGGTGTGTGAGCAGCTCCTCGGCTGAAGGTCTCTGGCGAGCCTCCACAAAAATGCGCCTCAGGAAGTCCCGGCCATGTTCAGAGATGTGGGAGGGCAGCTGAGGATTGGTGGGCTGGGTGGCAATCTTGAAGATGGCGGCCATAGCTTCATACTCTGCCCACGGTGGTTTCTCTGTCAGCATCTCCACCACTGTGCAGCCCAGGCTCCTGGAAAGAGAGAACCCCATGTCACCTCTCAGCCAGTCTTGGACTCCCAGCTGTCCCGCCCATCACTGCAAAAGGAGGCGTCTTTCTCAGAGTATGCTTAAGTGCAGGACAGGCCAAGCTGAGGGCTGAGAGCCCTTGGATCCCCGTCCACATGGGCTTCATGGACCTGTAACTCACCACACACCTGGGCACATCTTGACACTGGGAAAAAGAGAATCACTTTGCCTTGACAGAAAGAGTTCTACAATAACTGTATTAGCTCCCCATAGCTGTTCTAACTTTACCACAAACTTAGAGGTAGGAAAATAACACAAATGTGTCATCTTACAGTTCTGAAGGTCAGAGGTCTAAAATCAGTCTCACAGGGCTAAAGTCAAGGTGGCAGCAGGGCTGACTCCTGTCGGGAAGCTCTGAGGGGAGAACCTGTTTCCTTGCTTTTCCCAGGTTCTAGAGGCCACCTGCATTTCGTGGCTCATGGTCGCCTACTTGTATTACTACAACTTCTTGCTTCCATAGTCTCACCTCCTACTAGCCACTCTGACCTCCTGAGTCCCTTCTGTAAGGACCCTTGTGATTATACCAGGCTACCTGGCTAATTCAGAATAATCCATCTATCTCAAAACCCTTAATTTAATCATCTCTGCAAAGGCCCTTTGCTATATACACATTTACTGATCCTGGGATCAGGCAGTGGACATCTTTGGGGGACCATTATCAGCCCACCACAATAGCTTTCCAAGCGGAGAAGCTCTCATGACTTAGGGGCAGAGGATGGACACAAGGTTAGGTCAAGCAAGTGCAAGCCATCTGAGTGCTAGGAGAAGGGACAGAAGCCTGCTCCTGTTCAGAGACTGGTCCAGGCCTTCAGAGTGGATCCTGCTGCCTTAAGAGATTTAGGAAACATGAGGGATGTTTTCTATGGCCTAAGTCCCAGCTCTAATGGAGTATGCTTTTATCTGGGGTAAAAACACAACCCATCTAGTGTATGTGCACTGCACACACTAATACCCTTGCACATACTGCAGCCTGCATCCTGGGTGCACCTCCTCCTGCCACACCACAAAGTCCCCAGGATATGTTTCTAATGGAGGGCCACTAGGGCCTGGGTGGGAGAAGGGGTTCTGCATGTCCCAGTGCTCACCACACGTCTGCTTTCCTTCCATAGCCCTCACCGCTGATCACCTCAGGACTCATCCAGTAAGGTGTGCCAGTGACAGAGCGCATGCCCGTCCCCGACATACAGATCGTCTGCAGGCGTTTGCTGGCCCCAAAGTCCCCCAGCTTCACATTCCCAGCAGAGTCTCGGAGGATGTTGGCTCCTGAGGCATGAAAAGGCAGAGGCTTCAACCCTGGACCCTCTTGCATTTTCTCCCATCCTCCCCACTCCCAGGTCACTGAGAGCTGCTGGAGAGGGCGGGGCTACCACTGAATTAGACATGAACTACACACAACAAAGAACCTAGTGAAAGGGAGCCTCAGATCTACCACAGAAAATGACCATCTCCATGGCAACATGTACAGGGAACTTGGCAATATTTTCCCAAATTGCTCAACCAGTCTTCTCACAGTCCCTCAAGGAAGCAACTGGGATCCCACTTTGCAGAAAGTTCAGAAAGGTTAAGTAACTGGCTCTCACAGGCACTCAATGGTAGACTTGAACCCAGGTCCTGGGGACTCCATGCATCCTGGCCCTGCTCACCCTTAATGTCCCGGTGAACGATCATGTTGCTGTGCAGATAGGACATGCCCTCCAGGATCTGCCGCGTGTACTTTCGGGTCACGCTTTCTGTCAGAGCACCATAGGCCTTCAACTGGTCTTTCACGGAGCCCTAGCAGCCACAAGCAGTCAGAGAAGTCCCCTCAGGGGAGGGCTGGTGGAGGGACAAGCCCATAGCAGCCCCCAGCATGGCAGCAAAGGAATGACTGGTTCAATTCCTATCTGGCTATGCAGGGCACTCTGCCAGGAGCTGTCAGGCAGTTTGGAGAAGAGAGTACCACATAGTCCTTCTCAAGCAGCATGCCACCCAAATCCAGGAGCAGGGAGGTCTGTCTGCTCCAGATGAGGGCTGCATTTACTGGACAGTGAGCCAGTCCTACATGCTTCAGAGGAGGGCTGGGCCTATGGCAGTTGTCATCTCATACTCCCACTGCAGCCTGAGGTAGGGCCCTCCTGACTCCAAACCCACCATCACCTCGTTTTGCTGCTCTGGGCCTCTGGAGCCTCAGGTGATCAAACTCCTATCCAAAGTGACCCCTCTCCTGCAGGCTCCGCCCCCAAGGTCAGGCTCTCTTGCGTGTGTGTCTCACATGCATTCAAGGGGC